GCATAGAAGATATTTCTTATGTAAAGTTTCCTTATGTTACTAAAGTTTTTGAAAAATATAAACCAATATTTAAAAAATTTTCTGTATGCATAGTTGCGAGCCAAAAGAATAAGATGTCAAACATTATCAGCATAATAAACAGTGAAAATTCGCCCAGAGACCAATTTAAAATCGCCGGTGTCGTATATAGGATGTCATGTACATGTGGAAGCCCAAATTATTACATTGGAGAAACCGGAAGAAGATTGGAGTTGAGAGTAAAGGAACATGAGGCAGCCATTAGACTGAGAAGAACGGAATCAGCATGGTTTTTACATTGCAGAAAATTTAATTGTAATATAAATATAAAAAATACTAAAATTTTGTATAGAATAGAAAATAACTTAGAAAGAAAAATTGTAGAACATTTCTGTATCGCCGAACATGTAAATTTACTTAATTTGAATGCTGGAATGATTGTTGATGCATGCTGGGAACGGCTGTTGGGTATAAAACGTAACCAACGAATAACATCCTGATGTATCCACTGAGGAGGCCTAGATGGCGAAATGCATATGGATAAAATTAATAAAATAATGATTGTTCCTTGCTACTTGTTTGTCTTGTTTTGGCTCATAGAATCCTCGAAGTCGGAAATAGAAACAGTATAATTTTTACTTGTTTTTTAACTAAAAATTTTTTATTTTTAGTGTGTTAATATTACCACCGATCCCATTGGTTTTAATAATTGAATTTATATTTAAAATTATTATCGCAAATTAATTTTATATGAAGCAATGAATTGAACTGTAAAGTTTTCTAAATATGAAAATATTTTCTTAAATGAATTGAACAGTTTCTTAAATATTATAATTATTTATAATCTTAATTTACTCAAAAAATTTCTGATCTGAAAATAATTTATATCCTGAAAATTTCATTTTAAATTATTACGTGCGGAAATGTCTTGCTTTAGATAAACTGAAGGAAAAAGTGGAAACACTTCAATAAACTGTAACATAAAATTAAAAACTTTTCAAAATAATTTCAGTGTTATATTATTTCAAATTGTACCCGAATATTAAGACAAATATCCATCAAGAAAATAATTAATTCTAGTATTGATAATAAAACTATTACTCGAAAAATTATTTGTAATTTTAATTTATTCGACAGTAATTTACTCGAAAAATTAATTTTGTGATCAGTGCTACTCAAACCACTACTACTTATGTACTGTAAAGTACAATAAAGTGCAGGGAGCAAATAAAGATAGTGCCTGATGACAGACTTGACCAACTTAATGAATGACGGAGCGTATGTGATACTTATGAATCAATTTTTTGAATGCTTTGTAGATGTCGCTATCCTTAATTAAGAAGGATATGAAGTTCACAAGGCCAATTAACACACCTGTGGTTATGAGCAAGGGCAAGCTCATGCCTAGCATTCTTGGTCATTGGACACCCCATCACGGCAATTTGACATCGTGCCCATTAAGGCAAAAATGAAAGAGACGCCTGCACTGGTTTGACCACATCCAATGATCAGCCTTGGATACAGTGGCCAACATTGTCTACCACCTAGAAGTCAACGGCCGACGGCCATGCATAAGACCGAAACAACGATGGCAAGATGCTATCAACGCAGACCTAAGGGCTCTGCACCTGAACCCAGAGGCTGCACTTGATCAAACAAAGTGGCATTCGAAGATCCGAACAGTAGACCGTTTATATGTGGGACAACGTTAAGATAAAGTAGAAGTAGAAGAAGAAGAATGTGTGAGGAGGAGGCATGATTTTGTTCACCCCGTTTGAATCTTTAATAACTCCCGTGCTTTTTGTCGAAAATTTCTGGAATTTCTCAGGGAGGTTTGATTATTACAAAGATCGAGGATATTAACTATTAAAGTTTAATAACTTTGATAGTTAAAGGTCTAGGGGTGGGAAGTAATAGGGATCGTGTATATCTTCGGTATGGTCAAACTTAATGATTTCACACATTATTAGTATTTACAAATTTTTATAAAACTCATTCCTACCCTTAAAGTTAAGCACTTTGCCATTTTATAATAGTTAAAAATATAAAAAGTTTTAAAATAAAATATAATAACAGATGGCCTCGCCAAAAATTTAAATGTTACGAGGAAAGTTGAGTAACTCGTTGCTGATTTATTTTTTTACGAGTAATTTAGTGTATTCTCTATATGATAATTATATGATAATCAACTGTCTCTATTAGTTTGTTTATATTTTTATACTTTGATTGTTGAATTCTGAAATTTTGTATATATTTTAGTAAAAAATTTAATTAAGTTTGTTTTTGAAGGTATCGGGATGGACGATTCTTTCGTATTGTTGGCTGCGTGGAGAAGAACGAATAAGAAACACAGCGTCCAGCAAAGAATGAGTGAAACCTTTTCTGATGTCTGTATTTCCATAACGATAACCTCATTAACCAATTTTATATCATTCATTTTAGGAGTAATAACTCCTTATAGAAATATTCGTATCTTCAGTATATACAGCGCCATATCCGTGTTATTCGACTATATTTATCAAATATTTTTCTTTGGTGCGGTGATGGCAATCGATGGATACAGAGAAAAACATAACTTTCACTCCGTATTTTTATATCACGTTCCAGAAGATGTGACAGGTATGAATTTAACTTTTTATGTTGTTTTTATTAATAATTAGGCTATAATCGAAAAGTGTTGAATGGACCGTTTATTTTGAAAGTGGTGTAAGTCCATTTTTGAGAAAAATGAGCTATCACGTAATTCATGCTTAATTTAATGTAAACTTTTTATATATAATTAGTTCGTGTTTAATTTCTCAAAAAAATCCCATGTTTTGTACAACTTAAAATCGGTCGGTAAATGAATTAGCATAACCGTCGATTATGAAAGTGGTGTAAGTCCAATTGACAGAGGTAGGTAGCATAGCAGATGGATGCCGATCAGTAATTTGTTATTTTTCATTTATTTTATATTATGTGTCAACAGTTGCTAATTTAGGTTAGTTATTCTATTTTTCTGTTAAAATGGCTAAGTTCATATTAACATCAGATAGTGATATAGGTAAGAACAAATGGTAAACCGCTATTATCTTATAACAATTGAAAATATTTATTTTATTTCATTATAAATAAATTTACACAGACATAAAGCCCATGAATATAAACAGAAGAATAATGTTAGATTCAGAGGATGAAAATAATTCCGCTAAGAAGAATAAATTAACGAATCGAAAAAAGAGAAGAAGAATTATAGAGGTAGAATCTTCATCAGATGAAGATATTGTTATTGAGAACTTGGATTATGCGAAACAAAACAAAGAAAAATATTTGCAACAAATAAACAAAATTAAGCGAAATAATGGACAAAAATACTATACAAAAAGAGGAAAATTCATTCCTGCAAAACAATTTGAATCCAAAAATTGTAATTGCTCGCAGAAATGTATAGAACGTATTAATGAAGCACAACGTATGGAAATTTTTGATAAGTTCTGGAATATAGGTGATTTTAATAAACAAAATGTATTTTTATATGGTAGTGTTCAACGAAAATCTGTAAATAGAAGACGGCCTAGAAATAATTCGGGCACTAAAAGAGCATATGCTTATAAATTTTACCTAGTCACTTCTGGTGGAAACATTTTAGTATGTAAGAAGTGTTTCATTAATACTTTCCAAATATCTACTGGACGAATTGATCGTATCCTAAAATCGCATGAGAACATTCCGAATGACATGCGTGGAAAAATGGATGGCTCTTGCAGAAGAACTAGTGAGCTACTGACGAATACAGTGATAGACCACATAAAAAGCTTTCCGGCATTTGAAAGTCATTACACACGATCGCAAAATCCAGAACGAATGTTTTTAAATCCGGAATTAAATATAAGAAAAATGTATAGTTTATATTTGGAAAAATGCAAGGAAAACAACTTGAGCTCAGTTAATGAATGGACATACAGGAAAATCTTTAAACGAGATTTTAAGTTACGCTTCCATTTGCCACGTAAAGATACCTGTGCGAAATGCGATTTCCTAAACATGAAAATTAAGACTATAACTGATGACGACGAAAAAACGATTCTTGTAGAAAGACATGATATTCACTTGCAAAATGCTGAATTATCAAGAAAAGCATTACAAGAGGATAAAATTCTAGCATCGGGAAATCCTGATAAATACTTTGCTTTCACTTTTGATTTACAAAAAGCCTTACCATACCCGAAATTGTCTGTCTCAATCGCATATTACAAACGAAATATGTACGTCTTAAACGAGGGTTTTCACAATTTACACAATAATAACGTTAATATGTATGTGTGGGACGAAACCATTGCGTCTAGGGGATCGCAAGAGGTGGCTTCATGCTGTTTGAAGCACTTAGAAAATGTAACGACCCAAAGCCATGTTATTGCCTACAGTGACATGTGTACTGGGCAAAATCGAAATTTACAAATGGCATTGATGTGGTTGAAGGTTGTCCAGTCGAAAAACAACATTGAGATAATTGACCACAAATTTTTACTCTCGGGGCATTCATACCTTCCGAACGATGCAGATTTTGGCATCATAGAAATGGCATTGAGAAAAATGAATTTTGTGTACACTCCACAAGATTACTATAATGTAATAGCGCAATGTAGAAAACAGGATAAATTCATTTTACATGAAATGAAACGGGAGAATTTCATTTCAACAAAAAATCTCCAAAATGCAATTAAAAAACAGATAAAAAAAATACTAATGGGGAACAGGTCAATTGGTTGCAAATATGTTGGTTGAGGTTTCTCAAAAGTGCACCATATACCATTTTTTATAAAACAACGATGAAGGACGCAGAATTTAAAACTATCAATTTATTACCTCTACGTCCTGGAAGACCTTTAAATTTTGAAAAAATAGCCCTGGAGCCTTTGTACCAAAATGCCAGACCTATTACGTACGAAAAATATAAAGACATGAAGCAGCTACTACCCTATATACCTCCGGTGCATCATGCATATTTTGAAACACTACCACATGCAGAGAATAAGTAAATTCTTGTAATCAGTATCTATCAGTATCTTGTAATTATGACAATGTAATTATCGTCTAAAATAAAATGTTATGTGTTGTTATGCGTATTTGTAAACAAAATTATATTAAAATGAAGTATATTTTAAGCGATATTTGATTTTTCAAAATTGAAATTAAACGATTTTTACAATTGTCTAATTTTGAAAGTGGTGTAAGTCCATTTACAGCACATAAATATGTGTTATCGTAGTCTAATTCGCCAAAAACAAATCTATATAATCAAATTAAATGTTGATAAAACAATAGAAACAATGCCAGACCTCATATAATTTGCCTGTATTTTTAAATCAACAAATATATTAACCTTTCATTTTTTCGAAACAACAGAAAATGGACTTACACCACTTTCAAAATAAACGGTCCGAATATACATTTACTTATCTTTTAGAAAAAAAAATATATATATTACATTTTCTGTGTAATACTTCCTGAATTTAAAAGGAATTATTACTATGGTAGTGCAGTTATTTTATAAAACGATGCTTTGTTTTCTGTAAAACTACCGTATATTTACGCAGATAAGACGATAGTTGAATAATAAAAAAATGGCCCCCAAAATCCGGGGTCATCTTATAGGACAGATACAAAAAAAATTATATTGAAATTTATATAAATTAAAACTATTATAAAAAACGGACAAACCGTAATTATTTACTAGTAGAGAGTAGGCACAAAACAGAATAGTCTATACGACGTTTTTTGTGAATAGTCAAGGTCATTATCCGAATGCCGGAATCAGTGCCAATGTTTGCAACAATCATAAGGCAGTGCTTACAGATGCAAGAAAATAAAATTTGTTCATTCGAAAAATTAGGAATAGGACATAATTCCGTATACACTATACAGTATTATTATCCAGATGATGATTGCTAATCTAAACTAAATTCATAGGCTGTTGATAGTTTGAGGGTCGTCTTATAAAACAGATATATGCTAAAACTATAAAACTTTGACGAAAATTTATCTCCTCTTATCTGAAGGTCGTCTTATCTGCGGAAATATACGATATGTAGAATCATGAATATATAAGCATTAAGTTTTTGGCTTTATGGAGGACTCTATGTGTGTGTTAAGTGCTTCATAGAGGCAAAAATTTAGTGCTCGTAATCGAGGGGATAGAGCGCCGAGCTTCTGCCCGCTTATCGGCTTCTTTGTCAAGGACGGCTTCGCTTAAGTGAGGGGGAGGCTAGCGAGGTGGTGACAAGGTGTCGGAGGTTCTCAAGGATGACACAAAATTAAAGATAACATACACTTATTTAATTAATCAGCAAGCGATACAGATAGAGTACATTCAAATTCAATTATAAGGAAAATGTAATAATAATAATATTAAAAATTCCGCGTCGCGACAAGAATACACGGTCGTTGTTCCGTCTTAAACTTCGGGACCTCCGTAGGTCCACTATCCTTTCCGTTACCTTTCTAAGATCTACTGTAAAACCGAGAAAGAGGGAAGTAAACATTTTTGAAGTCTTTACCTCGGTAGCAGTGGTGATCGAGGACTGCGAAATTTCCAAGTCGAGAGCAGGAGGTTCGAATCATCCCGGTTCAGGAGCTTCTCCACGGCGATCGCTCCGAGCTGAGGAAGCGATCCCTTTTTATACACGTCCAGCAGGGGGGAATTATCGCGGGAAAATCTGATGCAATCGCATGTAACTCTTTACTTGCGTCACGCGTTATTTACTTTACTTGTTAGCCATTGAACGGTTCTTTTGATTTATTACGTTTTCTACCCGTTATTTATGATGGGAAAGTGTCCCAACAGCTGTCAAACTTCTTAAATTAATTGCCGCAGGTGACTAAGTTCAGAACATCTGGGGGCTACCTGGGTGATAATTGAGTAATTGTGAGTCATTTCATCTGGTAGGTCTACCCTTGCAGTTAACCTTTTTCTTACCCTCTATCATGTAACAGGTGAAGATGTTAATTGGCTACTGATCGGTACATTGTAACGAAGGTGGAACTGAATAATCTGGGATGAGGGGATAATTTTATCTGTCGCCTTAAACGACTTTGAAAGGTGACCTTCTAGACTTCAGGGTGACGTAGTTCTCTGACAAGTCAAAAGATCTAGCTTCAACAAAACTGGAGAAAAAAGGGGAAATAATGATAAAAAAATAATTTTATAATTGTTTAAGCTTTTTAAAATTCCTAGAAGAGTGCAGATACTCACAGTAAATTCATATAGTGTAACATAAGGACAAAAAGCAAATCATTAATCTATATGTAAGATCATGTTCAGAAATAACAACTGATCGTCCATAAAACTGGAAAAATTAAGAATGTGAAATACAGTAGAAAAATTATTTGATTAAATTAAGAGAACACAGAAATAAAACATAAAAAAATAAAAATGTGTTATAAAAATATTTAGGTTAAAACTCAGTAATTAGTAGATGAAATAACAAAAATTTTATAGTTAAATTGTACTTAAATCTTTCGTAAAGTACTTCTCTCTCATTCGGGATTCTCCTCTTCCACCATTTTCTATCAGTGCTGTAATGTACGTCAAAACCAAAAACAATCTTGGAAAACTTTTTGACAATAAACATTTAAATATCACATTGATAAAATAGTAAAAACATTAGCAATACATCGTTGCTAATTCTTTGTAAACATATCGTATCGAATAAGCTGCTGCTTNAAAAAACCCGAGGAATTTAAACTATATCGAATTTCACCGAGTTTGTAACAACGAACTGAGGAAGTTTACAGTTAAGTGTGAAGAATGCACCGTCATCTTCAACAAGAGTCGATGACGTGTCAGCTCTCGCACAAAATGATATAAAAGGGGAGATCACCGGAAGCTCAGGGCGTCCGCACACGGAAGGTATTCTTAGTACTTGTGTTCGTCGATCTCCATGCCAAGGACTGTGATCCCGTCGGAGAAGACATAGAAGACACCACACCCTTCCATACAGACGACGTTCGCCAACTCTCCCTTCCACCTAAAGGTATTTAGGGGTGGATTTTATAAAAGCGCTCTCTCTCTGAACTAGAAACTAGGGCAGCGACATAGCTAAGGACGTAATCGCCAATTTCTGTACATACTTTAATATAATCGCATTTAGCTTTACTATTTTTGTAACTTAGTTGTGTTAATTAATAAATGTTTGTTATTCTGTTGACCTGTCTCCTGTCTAACCGGCACCTGCCAACTTACCGGCGCACTCCCCACTCGATTTGCCCTTCATCCGACGACGCAGAGATCGGGTTTTGCCAGCCCGTGCAGAGTAAGTGATCATTGTGGGATTAACCCGTGTGACCCGCTACTTGTCTCACACACACGACCCTCATTATCTCACCATTCCCTTAACCTTTAACCACCAAAATTTATAAGAATCAATCCCCCTAAGAAACAAAGCTAGCTGAAAAATTTCAGAAATTTTCGACCAAAAGTACAGGAGTTATTGACCTTCAAATACGGTGAACAAAATCATGCTCCCACACACCAAATTCAATGCATACAGAAATGCCCTTCAAATTTTTTTACATTAGTCGACGTTTCAAGATGTCTTAAGTTGAAAAATGTAAAAATCTTGCGAGAGAGTCGTTTTTTGACCGATAGCCATACTTTCCCTCTGTTATATACAGTATAATAGCCGGGAAAATATAAATAAAAATAAATGAATAATTTATCAATTAGACAAAGTAATTTTATTTAATAGCCTCTAATATGAGTATGCATTTCTGTTTTACTTGAACTTTAAACAAATATTATATTCATTAGTTATATAACATCAGTACGTTGCTTAAGTGATAAATAAATAAATATATTACAAGTTCAGATGTTTAAAAAGTTAAAAGTAGCAAAACATAAGGGAGAGTTGCAGATACATGAAAAGCGTTAATAGTCTATTTGCTATTACTATTTATATTTAGATACGCAATCAATTCTTTAAAATTTTAAGTAACATTAAATGTAAATAAGTACAGTTCATTATATGTAAATATAATGCACATATTTACATATACGTATTTACAATAAATGTAAATATAAACATTACTTAAAAGTAAAATTCTGATATAATACACATTCTCTAAATATCTATCAGAATACTCATTTTATAATTTTGTAGTTATTAACAGAATTTATTAAATTAAAATTAGACAGTATATTTAATGACATGACAATTGATATAGAAATTTATGATTCGTTTATGGATATTTTATAAATATATTTATACTAAAATTTTACTTTTTGTAGAAAGAAAATCATCACATATCGAAAAAATTGTAAAGGTCATCAAAAAAGTGGAATGTTTCCCCGAAAAATTTGGTGGTTTTATGAGTAAAAGTTTCATCAAAGTATTAGTAATGTTTTCATTCATTTCTCTACTTACAGGCGCAATTTATAATATGATTTCAATGGAACAAGGATTGAATTTCACTGATATGTTTCCATTCAACTCTTATGCTGAAAAGTATATGAAAAAGCATTATCAATATTTTACCGATTATCCTTTCAGAGTACAGCTCGTGTTTAATCAAACTCTAGATTATTCAAATCCATCCGTTCAAATGGACATAGAAAACATCTTAAGAACATTCGAAAGTGCTCCTTACATGACTGGACCCAATTATACCGAATGTTGGTTGAGAGAATATTTGTCTTATATTCGTGATTCTAGAATAAATTACTTGATTAAAGATTTTGATGTAAATACAACGCAGGGATTTCTAGACGGATTGAAAAAGGTGTTTTTAAAATTTTACAATAAAATATTTGAAAGTGATATCTTGTGGAATAAGGAACGTGATCAAATTTTTGCTTCGAGATGTTTGTTTTCATATCGCAATGTCAGAAGCGGAAGTGACGAAAAATTTTTAATCGAAGAATTACGTAAAGTTGCAGCTGAGAGCAAATATGATGTGTTTGTTTATAACATGTGGTTTGTATTGTACGACCAGTATTTAAATATGCCTGCAATATACTTAAAATCCGTAGGAATCGCTATTTTGTCTGTATTTGTTATATTCTTTACATTTATTTCTGACATATCTTACAGCATTGCTGTTTTATTTACTGTTATTTGTATTCAACTGGAAACTTTGGGTTATGGAAGTGTATGGAATGTCAGTTTAGATATGATTTCTGTGATGTTTTTAATAATGAGCGCGGGATTTTGTGTTGATTACTCGGTGCACATTGCTCACGCTTACAAAAATTGCGAAGAAACAGATTCTAGTGAGAAAATAAAAGCATCCTTGCAATGCATAGGATATCCGATTGTTCAAGGATGTTTATCTACTGTCATCGGAGCATTTGTTTGCATTTTCGGACCGTCTTATTTGTTTATTGTATTTTTTAAGGTGGTTGTCTTAGTTATGATATTCTCAGTGTTTAACGGTTTAATTGCATTACCTATTATCCTTAGTATCGTTGATTCAATTCACATTCCTTGGATGAAGCAACTTAACATTATCACATCACGTTGAATGTATTATTGTTGTTTGTATTTTGAATTGTTTAAAAATGTAATGCATTACGATAAAATTAATAAAAGTTAATCTTACGTACACAAAACCAATAGAATTACACAAGATTATGTTGATATTCGATACAAATGTAGAAAATAAAATTGATATTTTTAGAACTGTTGTGTAGAAATGAACATAATTTTGCAACATTGTGAATAAATAATCACAAATATTACCACATTCAGGATACCGTTTGTGTATTTATCGAAGATTTAACCACAATTTTAGAATATTCAATTCAGAATTAGGCCTGGAGGCCGAATTCCATTCCGAATTGCAGACATTTAAAAAAACTATTGTATTTGATAAATTGATAAGTTTATAAAATTTAATTTTTTCGGAAATGATTTATATTTATAAGTGAATTTTAAATGGTAAATATTTAAAATATACTATTAATATTTAATTACAGTACCTGTATAATTATAATATTTTTCGGTTTCATTAAACATCTCACAGGACAAAAGGAAAGTTATAATTTTTATTTATTCAGAGGGAACAAAACAAAGAACAAAGATTGAAACAACTTTCTAAATTACAAACGTACATCTAGAGGAAATAATACAACAACAGGTTGCTTAACTTTCTCGGTAATAACTTTTAAAACTGCGTGTGGTGTTATCTGTTACGATATTTTATTTAGATTCTTTTTAATATCATTAATTATTATAAAACGGAAAAAAATTAGTTTTGAGTTTGGGAATAAGTTTTATAAAAGAAATTTTTATTGCTAATGATTAAGGATGCACCGATAAGCAAAATGGCCGATTACCGATTACCGATTAATCGGCCATGCATTATCGGCCGATACCGATTAATCGGCCGATTACTGTTAATAATTTATTGCATTAATAATGTGAGATCCTGGAGTTAATTATACAGTTAATTATAATGTGGAAAAAATCCATTTTTCTCCACCTGGTATTTCCATCTCCCTTGGGACAGGTAAACAAGAGACGATCGAATATCCTCGCAAAATCAACAATATCTGCCTTTGTTTCTAAAATAAATCTCAACACTTAATTGTTGACGCATGGAAACTTCGACATTGTTTAAAAAGCTGAAGTGTTTCTGTGTATAACAGAAACAAAATATATTTCTTTAACCGCTGATATTTGGACAGCAACTACAAACAATTCTCCTTTTTTAAATGTAACAGCTCACTGGTTGAAGGATGATTTTCAGCAGGAAAGAGCTGTTTTGCAAATTGTTTTCTTTGAAGGTTCCCACACAGCTACACGAATCAGTGAACAGTTAAAAATTGTTCTTGAACAGTATAAGTTGACAAGTGATAAGATATTCTTAGTACTAAGAGATTCTGCAGCAAATCTGGTAGCTGGAATTAGGAATTGCAACTTAGAAGCATTATCATGCTTTATACATACGCTGCAGCTGACACTAAACGAATGCATATTTTCTAAACAAGATGTGAAAACTATAATCACAGTTAATAGAAATATTGTCACACATTTTAATCATTCTGCTGTAGCTGTAATCAAATTGGAAGATTTGCAAGAAAAGTTAGGTTTGCAGAAACACAAATTAATTCAAGATGTTCCTACTCGCTGGAATTCTACATACTACATGTTGGAACAGCAAAAGGCCCTTGTCACATATGCTATAGATAATAAAATTCCTACGTTGAGCCCATATCAGTGGTCTCTCGTTGAAAAAATTGTTCTACTTGTAAAACCATTCAAAGAAATTACTGTGGAAAGCCAGCAAACGAGAAGCCACTTCATCTTCAATAATTCCCACAATAGAGACTCTGAAATTATTCTTATCAAAAGCAAAGATCAGTAGTTCCTTTAGTGGCATTAATACCACAACAGAAGAACTAGAAAATCCAATAAAAAAAGATTTTCAGCATATATAGAAAACAAGTCTTTATGCTTGTCATTTTTATTAGATTCAAAATGAAATTTCAAAAAGAGGATATGCTAGAGGAAATCTCAATAAGAATTAAATTCTGAAGCTTCTACTTCTGGAGGTGATCAAGATGGAGGTGAATTTCTAAGTTTTTCTGATTTATTTGATGAATTAGCTTCTGGTAAACGAAAGAATGAAGAATAGCATGTTTTTAAAAAAAAAAAAAAAAAACGAAAGAGACGAACAAACGTTTCGATCAAGAATTAGAAACATATTTACATTTATCCCTAATTTGAGCAAAATAGCTATGAAATATTTAAGTGCCTCAGCATCTTCCATTGAAAGTGAAAAAATTTTCAGCACTGAAGGTAACATTTATGAGCCGGCAAAAAATAGGTTATGCCCTGAAAATGATGAAATTCTCATGTTTTTGCATTGTAAAAACAAACTGTAAAACCCTTAAATTGTAATTTAAGGGTTTTACAGTTTAAATATTAAATTTTTATTTGTTTTATATTTGTTTTGTATTTAAACTTTAAACTTATGAAACAAATAAAAATTTAATTTTTCTTCTTAACCTATTCAATACTTTTTCTTATGTAAAGTTTAAACTTTATATTATACGTTATGTTATACTTATAATATGTATTGATGAAAGGAATAATTTGATTAGTAAAATTTTTTTAATATTCAGATTGTCATGTAATAAATAATAAATGTATAACAGAAATTTATTAGTTTTTATTACTAACATTGTACGTAACATTCTAAAAAAATACCAAAATGTAAAATTGGCCGATTATCGAAACCGATTAATCGGGGTGGAATAGCCGATACCGATTAATCGGCTAAGTGGCCGATACGGCCGATTACCGATTACTTACCGATTAATCGGTGCATCCTTACTAATGATAAATAAATTTTTCATTAATTTCGACCCTACTCGGCAAGACTCGCGACGCTCTGTAATCAACCCATCCTACGACTTTACCCTACCAAAATTTAACAGCATCAATCCGCTAAGATACAAACATCTCTGCAAAATATCAGAGATTTTCGATAAAAACCGCAGAAGATATTAAGCTTTGAAATGGATCATATGCAGATAGAACTTTGACCCCAGCGCTCATAAACAGTCAATCTAGGGAAACAATTTCGGAAAAGAGGAAAAGATTTAAGAGAGATAAATCATTGCATATGATCGTTCGAGTACCCAGATGACAGAAATCGCGAGTAACGGAGTTAAATTATGAGCGCGAATCTTGCAATTTTGTCAACAATCCCCAAGAACAATCGACAGAACGGCGTCGAGCAGACACCTGGAATAGGACCTTTCCCGTGACCCGAGTCAATCTTGGTTTTCCCCAAAACAAGAGAGACCAATCGAGAAGCGAGGAAAGAGACGAGGAATCAGAAGTTCAAATAGTGGGAGAAAAAAAAACTATAAAAATCGGAAAATCAAGGTCAGGAGGGCTCTCCTCCGACTCCCCGAAACGACGCGACTGAGATTGTGGTGTGTCGTCGGCACAAACTTTCGACTCCACCGCTTCCAACTTCATCTCGTCCGCCTTGATCAGCGACATCATCTCGTCCGCCCCGGGGCCAACCAGACGTAGACCTTATCGCCTCTCTGCATCTCCGAGAAGAACTAGTGAAGGACTGTCGATTGTCGATGTAAGCATAAATGTTAACAAATAAACGGCTTTCTTGTGTAAAACACTTGTCATTATTTGCCTCCTCCGTCACAGCCCACATACAACCTTCCATTAGGTTCATCCTGACGCGGAATCAATAGCTCCCACCTAGGAGACGGCAACCTTACACAGATGCCGTGAAGTGGGTTTCAAGTCCCCTATCTCCAGCGAGTCAACCCTATATCCAGCGAGTCAGCATTATTATATATTTAAAGTTTATAAAAACTTGAACGATATTATNCAAAGCAAGGGAAAGCTAATTGCCATTCATGCCCCCAGAGTGAGTGCTCTCAAGAGCCCCACTAAGGGATACAAATGTGAGTAGCTGATGGAACATTGTACACATGTGAATGAGTTGGTGCGGGTTGCAAGGCCAGTTGTACCCTTCAAGAATAGCAGTTCTCATTAAGCTATTCCTAATGTGATTGTACCTATTGCAGCAAAAAACTAAGTGAAGTGGTGTTTGATCCTCCTGAATACCACAATTGTATTGTGGATTGTCCCAAGTTTAAATCTATGCAAGTATTGCTTATAGTTGCCATGTCCTGTAAGTAGCTGAATGAGGATGTAACTAGGGTAAAAATGGTGAACGATCACAGTAGTTAATATGACGATTTTAGTCTCTGTAATCCAAAATTATTCTTGGTAGACAAATCTCACAGCAATCTTATTGGCAAATTAAATTTATTTTGTAAAGACTACATCAAATGCATTTCGGGCTGGTCTAATATTTTCCAGTCCCTCTTCAGTGCTAAAACAATAACAAAGAACGTAAAATGTTTAAAACACGACATAGATGTATATCTACACCAAATCTATAAATTTTGGAGAAAAACTTACAAACTGTTGGTGGTAATTACAATGATATTTCCATGGGTAGGAATGGTAAACTTTGTGCACATTTGTAGGAATCCTAAAATTACAATTATCTTTTTTTTACAAAACAATATAAGGCTAATACAAGTAATATCTTAAACAATACTTATACTTACAAGTTTAAGAAACTTTTCCACACACGTGTATAATAAACATACTAAAAACAACCAATTATTAAAAGTTTCTTTGACAAACAATTGTATAGATAATTCCAAAGCACTACAAATTTTTAACATCATTAGCATCTTTTTTTTCACACTACCTTCTTCTTCTATTCTTCTCAGGTGTTGTTGATATGGAGATTTTAGCTTTATATAGGTTCTTTCTCCGACTAGACATGTGTTTATGATCGCTATGCGACCGATTAGCCAGCCGTATCCGAACGGCCTATACGTACGCGCGGAAAATAATGCCTTCCGGGAGGACTTTTTATGGGGAACTGGCCTCCTATTCAGTCGTTATTGGCAAGGAGAAAACCCGGAAAACTCCAAGCAGCCAGCCTGTCCGACCGTGGCGCGAACCCACGACGAACCTCCCAGTCTTTAGGGTCTGGTCACCACTACGATGAGCGGCAAAGGAGACCACTCGCCCACTGATGGGGGCCATCATTAGCATACGTATACCATCAACACTTTACAACAGTAATCAAGTGATGACGTCTTAATACATAACCATTTATTTTATTCTAGCGCCATCTATCAGATAATACCAACT